GGCCCAGATTTAAATCCAGCCTCTGACACACTAGGTGTGTCAGCTAGGTGGCACAGTGTTTGCCATATGGGGTCACGACCCACAATTTAAGAAGCGCTGAAGGGGTCTCAAGTGGAAAAAGTTTAAGAAGCCCTGGTTTAGAGCACTGGGCTTGGAATCAGGAAAATTCATCTTCCCATATTCAATTCTGGCCTCAGACACTTATTAGCTGTGATCCTAGGCAAGTCACTTAACCCTGTTTGCTTCGGTTTCCTCCTTTGTAAAATGAGCTGAAGAAGGAAAGGAAATGGCAAACCATTCCAGTATCTTTGCCTACAAAACCCCAAATGGGGGTAACTGTGCACTGGGACATTGGCTGTGTGAGCCTATGCAAATCACTGAACTTCCCTGAGGGTCAGTTTCCTTATAATGGAGAGAATCATGCCTGGAGTGTTACGGGACTGCTGCAGTGAAATAATGTATGTAAATGGAAAGCACAATGTATAAGCATACATTGTATCTCTCCTCCCATGTCCCACAGAATAAATTCTTGGAGGACATGACAGTATTTCATTTTTGTCTTTGAATCTCTAGTACTTAGAACAGCTGGGGTTTTTTTTGACAGGACATATGATTTCATTGGTTTTTGGAACTCTCAAAGAGGAAACTCCTTCTACCAATGTATATCAGCATCTGTCTTAGAAAGATGCCTGGAGGCACTGAGAAATTCTGTGATTTGCCCAGGCTCACACAACCACCTGATCTCAGAAGTAGACCTTGAACTGAGGTCTTCCTGACATTGAGGCTGGATCCTCAGACACCCTTCTAGCTGCCTCTCACCTAGCACTTAGTAAGAGCTTAATAAATACTTATGCATTGCTTGATAAAATGAATGTTAGTTATTAGCTTGGCATGTACTGGCTAATATACAGTTCTAGGAAGAACCTATTTATATCAATTTTCAAAGTAAGAGTATTGTTGGTTTGCCTGTGATTCTGAACATAAATGACTATTATGGCTTTATTTATTCTATGTGTCTCACAAAAGATAACATTTATCTACCTTCCAATAATCCAACAGGACCCATTAACAGAATAAGGTTGAATAGCTAATCAATGAGTCATATAGCAAATATAAATCAGGTCAAACTAAATGAACCAGACTCTTGTAATGAATGGCCTTTCAAAGTTGCCTAGGAACCAGTGCAGGCCAAAGTTTACACACAAATTCAATGAATTTATTATAATCTATTAATTGAAGCTAAATTGTGAAAGCACAGAAAGTTAGGCCCAGAAGGGGCCTAGCTGTTTAGTCCTTTCCAATTGTGTCTGACTCTTCGTGACCCCATTTAGGATTTCCTTGGCAAAGATACTGGACTGGTTTGCCATTTTTTTCTCCAGCTCATTTTAAAGATGAGGAAATTGAGGCAGGGTTTGCCCAGGGTCACAGAGCTATTAAGTGTCTGAAGCCAGATTTGAACTCAGGAAGATAAGTCTTCCTGACTCCAAGCCTGGCACTGGACTGTGTGACTGTGGAAGCTCAGCAATGTGCCAGGGCTTGATACAGTCAGAACAATATCATTTGCAAATAGTAACATCTTGAAGTCATTATCTTCTATAGAGAATTCCTCTTCTATTTGGATTATGTTTTGGACAGTGGCAAACACCTTTGGCAAGCATATATGCTGTACTTGAGGATCATGAAATGATATCTGTTATAGCCTTTTTACAGGAATATTTCATGATTTTAAAATAGGTGTGGCAGACAACCTCTTGATGGAGGAAGTACTTTGCTCTATAGAATGAAATGGGTTTTTTTGTAGTAAATAATAATAATAATAATAATAATAATAATAATAATAATGCCTTTCAGTCAACTGTTTGTGAAGAGGTGGTCTATTGAAGGATTGTTTGCAAAATCTGTTTATTGCCTTCTCAAATCTGCACTATGCATGGATGTCCTCAATTGGCATGTTATTTTCACAAACATTTGTAGAAACAGGAAAATTGTAGAGACAGGAGAGTTATTAAATGTTAATATTTTTCATTGTGTTTATGTTCACCCTACCTCAGTATGTACCGCCATCTTCCCAGTCAACTTCTAAGTCATTAAACTCTTTCACCTCTCTCTTCTCTCCCAACAACTGACATCTAATCACTTGCCTAGTCTGTTCATTCCACATCCGTGATATTGCATGCATCCGTCCCCTTCTCCCTACTCACAAAGATATCACTAACTCATCTCCTCTCATAGAACTGGTGTTCTTTCTTTGGGAGAATATCTACACTCCAGCCATCTTTCCCAGAGCTGATACAATAATCTAATCATTTCATTCTCCTGCTCAAAAATATTTAATGGTTTTCTAGTGTCTCTATGGTAAAACATGAATTTCTTTGCCCAATATTTAAGACCCTCCACAATCTAGTCCTAGCTTATTTCACACAGCAGTCTTCACACTACATCCTGACCAAATCAGCCTACTAGAGGTTCCCTGATCTTGTTCTGCTGGTTCTCACAAGCCTGCCTCTCCCTCCCTCCTTATCTTGCCTGTTGAAATCACTCTCTTCTATCAACGCCCAGCTTAGGCACCACCTCATTCATAAAGTCTCCTTTGATCCCTCGAGGTGAAATTAATCTCTTCTTTCTTCATTCTCTCAGAACTCTTTGCCTGAAGCATTCATTTGCCCCATCTCATTCTACCCTCTTCTATTCTTAACTGTGAATATATCCTTTCTCCTTCAGTAGCCTATAAACTCTAGTGACAAAGTTGGGCAGTTCACATACTGTTCTTTTGGAAGTATGGGCGACTCTTTATGTCTCATGTCTTCAAGGTTCACAGTTCTGTGAACTGTGGCTGGGCTGGTTTAAAGAGGATCAGGAAACAGAGACTTGAGAGAAAAGTGGGGTTGTATCTCTAGAAAGTTCCTACAGCAGAGAAAGACCTTGTATTGACTTAGAAAGATAATAAATTTAGAGATTATAGTGAATGAGATCACTGAAGTAGCTCAAAGCCATAATTGTTTCCAAATGGAAAACTCCTGCAAGGACAGAATTATAGCCATCTTCTGCCATGATGTCATTTTATACCTCTAGAAGAATCATACCTAGTGGGAAGTTCTCCTTCAAATGCAAAAAGGGCATGAGCACACCCCAAGAGTGGTAGATAACCATTGTAGTTGAATCTTATAGCTCCACAAAGCAAGTCATCAGGATCTCACCAAATAGCAGAATAACAAGTTGTGAAGGTATCTGGTCTACCAAGAAATTGTTAGTACTCCCTTCCTTTGCTTCAAAGAAATACTGAATAATCTCCTGAAGGAGGAAGGAAATAAGCTTTTATTTAACACTTACAATATGGCAGGGAGGGGGTGGGCAGCTAGGTAGTATAGTGGATAGAGTGCTGAGCCTGGAGTCAGGAAGATTTATCTCTGTGGCCTCGGACATTTCTTAGTTGTGTGACCTGGGCAGGTCACTGTTGGCCTCAATTCCTCATCTGTTAAATGAGCTAGAGAAGGAAACAGTATTTTTGCCAAGAAAATCCCAGTGGGGTCATGAAGTGTCAGACACTACTGAAATGATTCAACAGCAATGTGCCAGGCACTGTGCTAAGCTCTTTACTATCTTATTTAATCCTCACAACAACCCTGGTAAAATGGTTATCTCCTTTTGCAGTCAAGGAAACGGAGGCAGACAGAGGTTAAGTGACTTGCCCAGGGTCATTATAAATATCTGAGGCCATATTTGAATTCAGTTCTTCCTGATTCCAGGCTCATGCTGATTGACTGTGCCACCTAGGGACCTATTGGTAAAACTACTCTGGTTGTATCTTGTAGAAATGTAATCATTTACTTACACCTGGAAAAAAACTTATAGATCATTAAGTTCAGCCCTCCTATTTTAAAGATGAAGAAATTGAGGGCCAAAGAAAGGGAAATGACTTTTCCAAGGTAACACAAATAGTAAACAACAGAGCTAGGATTTGAATCCACATCCTCTGATTTAAAGCCCATTGCTCCAGGATGCCTCTGTCATCCAGCAAAAGGTAATTTCTAACTAATGAGACTAATGGCACTCATCATATTGGAGTTCATAGCCACTGCTATTGTTGAACCCTACAGGAATATCTTGTTTTGGTGTCCTTTCTACAAGAAAATATTTAGTTCTTGTACTTAGAGCTTTCTAAACACAACAGACAATTATAACACCTTGGGATGAACTATTAGCAGTACTCTATAGTGTTCCTAGATACAGCCAACCCACAAATGAGCCCTTAATTACAGCACTCTGCCTATATAATTCAGAAATTAATTATCTACTGTTTACCTCCCCAGATAAATTTTAAAGTCTTTGAAGGCTGGGATTGTGTCTTATTTGTGTTCATTTATTCCAACAGTAAGTGTCATACTGGCCACATGTAAAATGAATGAGATGATGGCAGGAAGCTGTGTAGCCACTAGCCATGAGTGTCACACAATAGGTCCTATAAGCCATGTTCTGTGGTATTGAAATTTTGGTTTCCCTCATTGGGTAGTTTTTCATTTAGCATGATTCACAATCAGAGAGTTTTCTGGTTTATTTAACGAAGTTTCTCATTGGTGGCCAAGGAAAGTTTTGTTTTTTAAAATATTGTTTCTTTTAATAATGCATAATTCATAATTATATTAATGTACAATCACATGGCCCTTCATGGCTTTCAAAACTTTTTTGTGTATCTGCTTTCCCAGGAGAACTTTGCCTTCTTTAATTTCCTTTTTCAACTTACTCATTTTTTAAACTTTTATTTTCAGTTTTGAATTCTCTTACTTCCTCCTGCCCCTTCCCTACCCACTGAGAAGGCAAGAAATATGATACTCATTATATATATGAAGTCATGCAAAACATATTTCCATATTTACCATGTTTGACTTATTCCTTAAAATCATTTGAAATGTGTTCTCCAAAAATGAATTCTATACCGATTTTTTTTTCTTTTTCTTTTGGTGTGTAAAAGGATGAGCCAAAAAAAAAGAAAGATACCTTACCTTGCTGGGATGTAACCAGAACCATGTGAAACCAGATAATAGCAAAGAATATTTTAAACTTCAGGAAAAGACCTTCAGTTCCGCAAAGACTGTAGTACTGCCCTCCAGAGGAAATCATTCTAGAACATATAAGGGAAAGACAACCTATAATCCAAATCAATTTATTTAAATAAACAATTAAAAAAACCATATCTATTATGTGCCATGCACTAGGTATACAAAAGGCCTATTAATATGCCCTTGGAGAGGAAGAGAGAATTTGGGATCTCACAGTACTGCATTAGGGAAGATCACTTTCTCCTGTGCTGCTCCCAGAGCTGCCCAGTGTTCTCATACCATAGACAAAGGGGCGCAAGGAAATGCAAAGGACATGACTGACCACAGGCAAAAGAGCTGTTTACAAAAAATTGATTATATTAGCCAGATGCAGTCTTAAATAGAACAAAAGTACATGCTTAGAAACTAAGCCTATTGTAATGAGCTGAATTAAGGCAGGAGAGCTGATGAGGACTGCAAATTGTTCCATATCTTTTTTTCTTTATTACTCCTGGCACTGGAGCAAGTGCCCACAATTTGAAAAAAAAATCATTACAGTCTCATACCTTATTGTTTGCCCTTTAGCTTCTGTATAAATATTTTATATATTCCATAGTTATTTTTGAATTTGTCTTTGTATCTCCTCCTGAAAGTTTTTATCGCTAATATACAGAAAGACTGATATTTTTCTATAGATTTACTTTATATCTTGCTTTTTGCCTTTATTTTTAAAATTTTCATTAATTTTGGTTAAATTTTTAGGGTTTTCCAAATAAACTGTTATATTTGATACAAAGCTCAGTAATTTCATCTTAGTATTTTAGTTAGCATTTCTATAACTATATGAAATAATAGTGTTGGTAATAGATAGCCTTGCTTTGCTCCTGATTTTTTAAAAAAGGCTGTAAGCATTTAAAAATTTTTTTTATTAATTTATTTTGATTTATCAACAATCACTTCCATATGCTTTTGAGTTGAAAATGTTTCTCCTCCCCCCCCACCCTCCCCAAGACTGCGCACAATCTGATATAGGCTTTACATTTACATATCCATTAAACATATTTTCACATTAGTGAAGTTGTAAGTAAAAATTAAAACCAATACAAGGAACCATCAGAAAGATGAAAAAAAAAACTCAACAGAAGTTAAAAATAAGTGATAGCGATTCGACTTCCATAGTTCTTTCTTTGGATGTGGACAGCATTTTCCATCCCGAGGCCTCTGGAGATGTCTTAGATCCTCGTAATGCTTAGAAAGGTTCAGTTTAACAATATTAGTCATTGCATAATGTGGCTGTTATTGTGTACAAAGTCCTCTTGGTTCTGCTCACAACACTCAGCATCAGACCATATAAGTCTTTCCAGGTTTTTCTGAAGTCAGCCTGTTCATCATTTCTTATAGCACAATAGTATTCCGTTACATTCATATAGCCCAACTTGCTCAGCCATTCCCCAATTGATGGGCATCCTCTCAATTTCCAATTCTTTGCCACCACAAAAAGAGCTGCTATGAATATTTTTGTACATGTGGGTCCTTTTCCCATTTGTTTGACCTCTTTGGGATATAGCCCTAGAAGTGCTATTGCTGGATCAAAGGGTATGCACATTTTTGTAACCCTTTGGGCATAGTTCCAAATTGTTCTCCAAAATGGTTGGATCATTTCACAACTTCACCAACAATATACTAGTGTTCCAATTTTCCCACATCCTCTCCAACATTTATCATTTTCCTGTTTTGTCATGATGGCCAATCTGATAGGTGTGATGTGGTACCTCAGAGTTGTTTTGATTTGCATTTCTCTAATCAATAACGATTTAGAGCATTTTTTCATATGACTATAGATGGCTTTAATTTCTTCATCTGAGAACTGTCTGTTCATATCTTTGACCATTTATCAATTGGGGAATGGCTTGTGTTCTTATAAATTTGTCTTAATTCTCTATATATTTTAGAAATGAGGCCTTTATCAGAGAGACTGGTTGTAAAAATTCTTTCCCAATTTTCTACCTTCCTTCTAATCTTAGTTGCATTGGCTTTGTTTGTGCAAAAACTTTTCAATTTAATGTAATCAAAATTATCCATTTTGCTTTTCATAATGTTCTCTATCTCCTGTTTGGTCATGAATTCTTCTGTTCTCCATAGATCTGATAGGTAAACTATTCCTTGTTCTCCCAGTTTACTTATGGTATCAGCCTTTATATCTAAGTCATGAACCCATTTTGACTTTATTTTGGTATATGGTGTGAGATTTGGGTCTATGCCTAGTTTCTGCCATACTCTTTTCCAGTTTTCCCAGCAGTTTTTTTCAAAGAGTGGGTTCTTATCCCAGAAGCTGGGGTCTTTGGGTTTATCAAATAATGATTACTATAGTCATTGACTACTGTGTCTTGCATATTTAACCTATTCCACTGATCCACCTCCCTATTTCTTAGCCAGTACCAAGCAGTTTTGATGATTGCTGCTTTATAATACAATTTAAGATCTGGAATTGCTAGGCCACCTTCCCCTGCATTTCTTTTCATTAGTTCCTTTGATATTCTGGACCTTTTGTTTTTCCAAATGAATCTTGTTATTATTTTTTCTAACTCTATAAAATAATTTCTTGGTAGTTTGATTGGTATGGCACTGAATAAGTAAATTAGCTTAGGTAGGATTGTCATTTTTATTATTAGCTTGGCCTACCCATGAGCAACTGATGTTTTCCAATTATTTAGATCTGATTTTATTTGTGTGAAAAGTGTTTTGTAATTGTGTTCATAGAGTTCCTGGGTTTGTTTCAGGAGGTAGACTCCTAAATATTTTATAATGTCTACAGTAAGTTTAAATGGGATTTCTCTTTCTATCTCTTGCTGTTGGGCTTTGTTGGTAATATATAGAAATGCTGATGATTTATGGGGTTTATTTTATAGCCTGCAACTTTGCTAAAGTTGTTTATTATTTCAAGTAGTTTTTTACTTGATTCTCTAGGATTCTCTAAGTATATCATCATGTCATCTGCAAAGAGTGATAGCTTTGTTTCTTCTTTGCCTATTCTAATGCCTTCAATTTCTTTTTCTTCTCTTATTGCTAAAGCTAACATTTCCAGTACAATATTGAATAACAGTGGTGATAATGGACATCCTTGTTTCACCCCCGATCTTATTGGAAATGCTTCTAGCCTGTCCCCATTACATATAATGCTTGCTGAAGGTTTTAGATAAATGCTATTTATTATTTTAAGGAAGACTCCATTTATACCTATGCTTTCTAGTGTTTTTAATAGGAATGGGTGTTGTATTTTATCAAAAGCTTTTTCTGCATCTATTGAGATGATCATGTGGTTTCTGTTGGTTTTGGTGTTGATATGCTCAATGATGCTGATAGTTTTCCTAATATTGAACCAACCCTGCATTCCTGGTATAAATCCTACCTGGTCATAGTGTATTATTCTTGTGATAAGTTGCTGTAATCTACTTGCTAGTATTTTGTTTAAAATTTTTGCATCTATATTCATTAGAGAAATTGGTCTATAATTTTCTTTCTCTATTTTGACTCTTCCTGGTTTAGGTATCAACACCATATTTGTATCATAAAAAGAATTTGGTAAGACTCCTTCTTCACCTATTTTCCCAAATAGTCTATATAGTATTGGAATTAATTGTTCTTTAAATGTTTGATAGAATTCCATGTAAATCCATCTGGCCCTGGAGATTTTTTCCTAGGGAGTTCATCAATGGCTTGTTCAATTTCTTTTTCTGAGATGGGGTTATTTAAGTATTTTACTTCCTCTTTGGTTAATCTGGGCAATTTATATTTTTGTAAATATGTATCCATTTCACTAAGATTGTGAAATTTGTTGGCATATAGTTGGGCAAAATAATTCCTAATTCTTGTTTTAATTTCCTCTTCCTTGGTGGTAGCTTCGCCCTTTTCATTCTTGATACTAGTAATTTGGTTTTCTTCTTTCTTTTTTTTAATTAAATTAACCAAAGGCTTATCTATTTTATTAGTTTTTTCATAAAACCAGCTCTTAGTTTTATTTATTAGTTCAATAGTTTTCTTAATTTCAATTTTATTAATTTTTCCTTTGGTTTTCAACATTTCTAACTTGGTGTTTAGTTGAGGATCTTTAAGCTGTTCTTTTTCTGGTTTTTTTAGTTGTATGAACATTTTTCTATTATAGATAATTGTAGTTGTTAGTTTTAAATATACTATTTACCATTTTAAAGAAGTCATTTTATTCTTACACTTTTTGAGGTTTATTTTTAACATAAAGTGATGCTACATTTTGTCAAAAGTTTTTTTGCTTCTGTTGATACAATAATGTGATATTTGTTGCTTTGTTATTGATACCTTCTATTATGCTTATAGCTTTCCTGATATTCAATGAACTACATTTCAAGTCATGGTGTATAATATTTTTAATGGTATTGTAGATTCTTTGCTAATATTTCATTCAATATTTTATATAAATATTGGTCAATACTTTTCTTTTTCTGCTTTATCTCTCCCTGGTTTAGGTGTCAGGAATATACTTGTCTCATAGAAGAAGTCTAATCCCTTCTTTCCTTACTTTTTCAATCAATTTATGTAATATATGAATTAATTGTTCTTTGGATGTTTGACAGAATTTGCTTGCAAACACAGCTGGTCCTGATTTTTTTTCCTTTATGACTGGTTCGATTTCTTTTTATGAAAAATTCTCTATTTCTTTTTTCTGTTAGTCTAAATAATTTAAATATTTGTAAAGTTAATATATTTCATTTAAGTTAATACTTGCATATATATGTATATATATATATATATATATATATATATATATATATATGTATATCCTATATCAGATTGCTCACTTCTCAGAGAAGAATTGTGAGGAGGGAGGGTTAGAATTTGAAACTCAAAACTTAAAACAAAAACCAAATGTTAAAAATTGTTTTTACATATAACTAAGGAATAGTAAAATATTATTTTAAAAAGATATAAAGTAAATCTACTTGGAGAAAATATAATCTGCAAAATTTAATGAAATATATAAAATAAATTTTAAAAAAAAGAAAGTACATTTGGGACCATTTCATTAGCTGAGAACATGACAAGGATGACA